ATGTTCTATATCAGAGATCATGAAACATGTTCAGTCTCCCATAGAGTGTGCCTGGCACTATGCCAAGGACAGTGAGCATAAGATGCGTGGTGAGTCACACACTGTGTCCCAATGCACCCTACTGTAGTAGTCACAACTGGAGGAGACCTCCCAGAATGGAGGAGCACTTACAACTTCCCTGCACCCTCCCTTCCTTCTGACAGGGTCAAGCCCGTTATGTAACAGGGTGACCTTGGGTTTGTGACCCTCATGCCCCCATCTCCCCAGTGCTGGGCGACAGGAGTGCACCACTGACTTGTTTATGCACTAGTGTTGAGGACTGAACACAGGGAATCACATGTGCTAGTTAAGGACTTCACCCCGAGCAGCATCCATAGCTCACCACTCTGGATGAGCCTTTGCCAGGGTTCTGAGGGCAGAGCCTCAGCTGGTGGAAATTTTTACATTCAGTTTACATCCTGTTTATGTTCAGGAAATAGTCCAATAAGTGGCTGGCAATATACTTAGCCTTTCTGACCTTTGTTTTCCCCACTTATATAAGCAAATGATCAAACAAAATAATATATAGTTTATAAACTGCTTAGCATTGTAGCTGACCTGTGGCCAGTGCTAAGAAGTGGGATTTTGTTTCATTTTGTTTTTCTAGTAGTTCTAGACCTTCGTGGTTATGTCCAGGGGGTGGGTCTCCCTCGGGCCACCAATGCCAGCTTCCAGTATGTGACCTGCCTCAGTTCCTTTGGGTCTGTGATACCACTCTAGAAGTCTACATATCTGAGGTCTGAGCTGTGATTCTCAACCCGAGCTCTTTCTTCTTTGTAGCTTTCATTGGCTTTGCAAAAATCTTCCCATAATTTGGATACTTCCTGCTGACCACTTTCAGTCACATTTCCAGATGAACACACCGGTAATGCCCCTGCTCAAGAGGCAGAGACTTAGGAGAAGGCAGGGAACAAGAGTCTCAACGGAGAGGGGACAGTCAGACTTCTGGGTTTTCTTGAGAGTCTAAGTATGAAGACAGGAGCAGAGGCTCATTATTAGGGGACGGATTGGGGAGTAAATGTGCTGAATTCAAATGAGACATCTGAGAAGTACTGAGTCAGGGATGAAAATACCAGCTGGAGTTGGAACTGATGGTCAGGGCTATTCATTTAGCCTGCAGTCCTCAGCCAGGCCTGAACCTGCATCTTGATGTTCTGGGGTTATCTGCTCAGAGCTTGCAATCTGGGCTGGAATGACAGCATATGACCTTTGGTTTAGTGGTCTCTGAAATGTGACATATGTTTCTTTAGGTCTTATGTCTGTCCTGTTGACATTTCCTGCTCTGCTGGACTTCATGATCTGCCTGCTGCTCCTCTAGAGTGCAGATGGATTGTGAATCTGTCTGCCACTGACAGCATGCTTGGAGACCTTGGTCAACTCCCATGCATCTGTCTGCCACTGACAGCATGCTTGGAGACCTTGGTCAACTCCCATGCATCTGTCTACCACTGACAGCATGCCTGGAGACCGTGGTCAACTCCCATGTATCTGTCTGCCACTGACAGCATGCTTGGAGACCATGGTCAACTCCCATGCATCTGTCTGCCACTGACATCAGCATGCTTGGAGACCGTGGTCACCTCCCATGCATCTGTCTGCCACTGACAGCATGCTTGGAGACCTTGGTCAACTCCCATGCATCTGTCTACCACTGACAGCATGCTTGGAGACCGTGGTCAACTCCCATGCATCTGTCTGCCACTGACAGCATGCTTGGAGACCTTGGTCAACTCCCATGCATCTGTCTACCACTGACAGCATGCTTGGAGACCGTGGTCAACTCCCATGCATCTGTCTGCCACTGACAGCATGCTTGGAGACCTTGGTCAACTCCCATGCATCTGTCTACCACTGACAGCATGCTTGGAGACCGTGGTCAACTCCCATGCATCTGTCTGCCACTGACAGCATGCTTGGAGACCTTGGTCAACTCCCATGCATCTGTCTACCACTGACAGCATGCTTGGAGACCGTGGTCAACTCCCATGCATCTGTCTGCCACTGACAGCATGCTTGGAGACCTTGGTCAACTCCCATGCATCTGTCTACCACTGACAGCATGCTTGGAGACCGTGGTCAACTCCCATGCATCTGTCTGCCACTGACAGCATGCTTGGAGACCTTGGTCAACTCCCATGCATCTGTCTACCACTGACAGCATGCTTGGAGACCGTGGTCAACTCCCATGCATCTGTCTGCCACTGACAGCATGCTTGGAGACCTTGGTCAACTCCCATGCATCTGTCTACCACTGACAGCATGCTTGGAGACCGTGGTCAACTCCCATGCATCTGTCTGCCACTGACAGCATGCTTGGAGACCTTGGTCAACTCCCATGCATCTGTCTACCACTGACAGCATGCTTGGAGACCGTGGTCAACTCCCATGCATCTGTCTGCCACTGACAGCATGCTTGGAGACCTTGGTCAACTCCCATGCATCTGTCTACCACTGACAGCATGCTTGGAGACCGTGGTCAACTCCCATGCATCTGTCTGCCACTGACAGCATGCTTGGAGACCTTGGTCAACTCCCATGCATCTGTCTACCACTGACAGCATGCTTGGAGACCGTGGTCAACTCCCATGCATCTGTCTGCCACTGACATCAGCATGCTTGGAGACCTTGGTCAACTCCCATGATCCTGCCATTCTTAGCAGAGAGAGCATGGGCATAGCCTCTCCTCCTTGGCTAGCACCCTGCCACCCACTGAAAGATGTTGTGCCGGTGTGTTTGTGTGTGTGTGTGTGTGTGTGTGTGTGTGTGTGTGTGTTGGGAGTGCAAGGGAAAGGCACATATAAATGGTGTGGAGTTTAACCTTAGATTTTTAATTTTAATTGCACAAATGTGTGCGATGCTGTATGTTAATTGAGTATTATGCACATCGTGCAATGACCAAATCATGGAAGCTAATATTTCTGTTTCCATAAACGTAAAAAAACCTTTTTGATTTACACATAGTAATTGTGTACATTTGTGGACTACAGTGTGGTACTGAATAAACGCGCACACAATGTACTGATTAAAACAGCGTGATTAAGGCTTACATCTACTTATGGTGCTGTGCTGCTCCTTTTCTCTAGCTCTTCAGAAAATAGCTGTGCCTCAACAAATGCTTAACGGTTCCCAGCAGTTTAAAGCAAGCAGAGAGGAGGGCGCAGGACTCCCTCACATCTGTAGAAGGTCCGAGCCTCACTCTCGTCGGACACACAGACACACACACACACACACCTCTCGAAGATTTCTGAAACATGACACAGTCCAGTAAAATCTGGATTTTTTTCCCTTGAGCTTACATCCAGACTTGCCCCAAAACAGGAGAAGATGTAGGAAAGGACTAGAGTCTGGAGCCTGGAGCCTCAAGTCGCTTCCCAGCCGTGACGTTCAGCGGCCAGCAGGTGTCAGTGCGCTCTCGTTCTGTCACGGCTCAGGGCCTACGCCTCCTGGACCCTTCCCCTTCGCCGTTCAAGGGGGCGCGGTGCAGACCCCAGGCCACGAGCGACCCGCAGACAGCTCTATGGCTGCATGGACACGGGGCCTTCTCTTTCCTAAGTATGAATAACTCAGGCCAGGACTGCTTAAGCGTGGGTGCTGTCCATTCCGCTCCAGCGGTTCCATAGGGACTGTACATGCTTATCTCTCCAGGATCCTCTCATCCCGGCCACCAAGAGCACCTGCGCCAGGCCTGGGGCGGAGCTGCTTCGCCAGCGACCCCTACGCAACGCTCCTAATTCGGGTCCCAGCACCGTGGCATCCATTCCTGGTAGAACCCTCTAGATCGGTGCACTCCAGGGTCTCTGCC